ATGGAATGTCTATTGCTGTTCTGAAGAGATGGCAAATTTAGAAAGTCTTTGTTGTGGATTGTAGCTCGGCTCACTCAGTCTCTTATCAGTCACTCCTGTGCTGGAAAATGCTGCATCCTGGGCCCCAGTGGGCCCCAGGTTGTGACCTCCTGGTGTATTTCTGGCTTTTCAGTCCAGAGCAGACTCCAACAGTTGAAAGAAAAAAGGAAAAACACGGTCCAGGGAACTTCTCTGCTTCAGCTAGCTAAGAACTAACTAAAAGTGAAGGAGAACTCTGTCTTGCTGTCCATCCCTGCTGCAGACAACACAGTCTGTGAGAGGAATGCCGAGGAAAAAAACTGTGCGTTTCTTCTCCCCCTCTTTGCTCTCGGAACCAGCCTTAAAGGTGCAGAACTTATTTCTAGGCTAAACAGATAAATGGGGATACAATTCAGCATCATAAAGTCACCTCAGGACAGTAAAACAATGCTAATTAGCAGAAGGAATGTTGTTATCCCTGCGGGAGACCCCTCCGTTCTTACCCCCCTGTGGAGAAGAGCCAGCCTTCTCAGAGCACGGTAGGGGAGTGGATACAACATGGACTAAAAGTATCTTAGACACAGGAGGCTCAGACCTGCTTGGAGAATTCCTGGGTTTATTGTATGTGGTCCATCCGGGGCAAGAAAGAGGCCAAAATGCTCTGGGCCTTATCTCTTATACCAGGGGGAGGGGGGTGGTCGGAGATACAGGGGTGTTACAGCCAGTGGGATAGGGGAAGGGGAAAGGGTTTTCAGGTAGGGATTAACTGAGGGTGAATTCTTCTCTTGGGACATACCAATGATTTTTAGATGCAACAAAAGAATACACTAAACACTAATATACAACACATTGTTGAGCAGAGATATTTTAAATGTCTAAAATGATAGGGAACATAAGCACTAAAATGAGTTCCACAGAGATGCAGATCCAGCACTATAGGGAAATGAGGCAATGAGGCTCAGGAAAGTATGGAGCCAATCACATTCTGTGTCAGGTTATTGCTTCTGAATTGTGAAAATGTAAATCACATAAACCATATATATATATAACCTTTTATGGTAAATTCGCAGAAGTAAATCAAGTAATATGTTTTTGATTAAAAAATAATGTTAAGTGGTTGTCTTAAAGAAGATTTGTATTTTTCAAATTATATGGTTTTGTTACTAGATTAGTTTCAGTTTATGAATATTCATAATATGCTCCTTAACAGTGTCAAACAGCTTATGCATATGAATTAGGTATGTCATTTTTGAGCAAAACTGTCTAAGTATTCAGAAATTTTGAGGAAATGAATGTTCTTTAAATAGCTAGACAGTGATTTCTGCTGCTTGTGATGCTTAGGGTACAGCTGCAGGAACAAAAGCGCCCTTAGCTGCAGTTCGAATTTGCAGTGTGCTGGTCACTTAAGAGTAACTTTTAGATTAAAAATTTCATTAGAAGATTTGTTGTTCTCAGTGAGAGAACTTGCAGGAAGTGAGAGTGTGCAAACAAGGAGTTGCCTCTGAGTAGCTGAGAGGCCACAAATCACCAGCAGCATGTCCTTTGGGTAGCTGGATGAAGCAGCTACAGAGGTTATTTTGTCAGATAAATGCTCTTTTTCTCTGGGAGAAATCCTAGAATAGAGTTCTCTGTGGTTATACCTGCCTTAAGAATAGAGCTTGTCTTAAATCAGTGTGTTGTCATAGGAAAAGCTTATATCTCTATCTGAATGCTTTTGAAAAGCATTCATTTTAAATTCCAACTTAGCAGGATGAAGGAAAATACTAACAAAATTATCCTGATAATGACTTCCTTACTGACACTAGGTTTTCCTCTCCACTTGCAGGTCTTACCAAGCATCACAGCTCTGCACTTCTTTTCCTCATCTTAGTAGTATACATTTCTCCTTACAAATCTTCTGAAAAATGTGGGGGAGAAGTATTAATCAGTTTTTTTTGCACATTGGCTGCAGCTTTTACATTATAGGAGGTAGTGGTTAGATCACTGAAAATTGTAAAAAGAGAAGGGGTGTAAATTACCTCCAAAGGATTGATGGTACACCTTCAATCAGGTGACAGCTGAGATTTGAGGATACCTCAATATCAGGAGTTGTGAGCTGAGGAAGGTTCATTCCTGAGATGATCACAGTCGAAGGTACCAATTTATACAGCTAAAAGCTGTGACCTCTATAATTTATTGATTTGCAGAATTTGGTCTTAAAAATGGAATGGTCATAGGCATGGAAGATGGAAGAGGAGAGTGTAAAGAACTCCCAAACAGATGATTTACCAATTTCTTCATTAGGCTCAAGTCACTGTGAAATAAACTGGCCAGGAGACAGACAACTGTTTTATGCCTTTATTAGGGCTCAGCTCTGGCGTGGGGGCCCAAGGAGTCACTTGTGCCAGTGGTGCTCCCACACTGGTAGCTCCAAGGAGGAGGCACAATTCAGCTTTGCAGCACACACTCAGAGCTGGGGTTTCTGTCCTCATGAGAATAGCCAGGAGGCTTCTTGTTCTGGCTCCTTGTCTAGTGGGGAGTCAGTCCTTCCCCAGTCTTCTTTAGGTCGTGGTGATGTAAGAAAATGGGGTTTTTTGGGTTTTTTTTAAGCAGGCTTAGGTGATGCAGGAAGACGATCTTTCATCGTAGCTTGCTAGAATACGTTCCTTTGTCCTTTTATTCCTTCATTAGCTTGTTGTTTTGGTGTCTCGCATGCCTTAGTTTGCATATTACTCAGGCGCACAGCTCCCTGGGAGTAGCTTTGTTGCATCGTGGCACAGTCCCCATGTGAGCAGCTTTGTTACATAGTACCAGGGAAGTAAGAGAAAGGGGTAGAGGTATGTCTTTTAAGAACTCTAAAACACTTCAACAACTGAGAAGTAATTAACATTACTAACAAGTATTGAAGTAAACAAGGGGTACAACAAACAAGGTTTACAAATGGGACAAGAACATTAACTGTACACAACTAAACACAGTATTTTAACCAGGGTGGATTTCTTGAGAGATTTTATTCATGACAACTGGTTTGGCTTGGGTTCTTATTTGGTTATAATTCTTCACAAGTTTCTCTGCAGCAGCTCCTGGTTGCCTCCCTTCACTGTAGGACATATTTGAGACATGGGAAGCACTGGATGAGTGGCAGAGGAGGCAGAAATGCTGTACTGCTGATTCTGTAGGGGTGGAAGGAGGAATGAAGGTGTGGGACAGCACACAGTAATGGTTATGCATCTGAACTGGATTTGGAAACTTGAAACTTGGCATTGCAGGAGTTGATGTTTCTTTAGCTTGATAATTTTCTTCACATTTCATCAAGTACTGTGAATTTAAGGAAGTGTTATGAAGGAATTCTTGATTTCTTCAAAATGAGTAACTAGTGCAGCACAGAATCATTCTTTTGACACAGAACATGGTACTCTTCTATGGAAAGAGGTGCAAAATGTTTTATTTTTGCTTTCTGGGCAACTGGAAGTAAAAAGAAAGATGCTGTTTCTCAGTTGCAAGGCTTGTCTCAAAGGCAGTCAGCCTTTCCTGCTGCTCTTCCTCTAGAGTGTAATGGTATTTTCATTTTTATAATTTTCTGAGTAATTGTGAAAGGACATTGGCAAAAATACCTTTTCTCTGCTGCTATATAAATAAGTCTTAAAATAACAGGTACTGACTCAACTGCTTTTACATAAATTTTGGTGTTTTAATAACCAGAAAAGAGTACAGCAAAATTTGGAATAGACCCATTACATTAACCCAGTGCACGGTTAAATCCTTGTACTAAAGATGAATGTGAGGTTGCTCGCATTACATTACATTAACTGTAACTTTGTAAAAGTTACAAAAGTTGCTCACTGCACCACATGACAGCTCCAGCTTATTGTAACTAATAATGGGTGGCTTCACTAATAATCAGGGAAGAGAGGCTTTGAGTAAATTTATGTTTTCTATGGGCTTGTGTGGGCGCTTCTATTTGTACTTCAGAGATCATGAGATAAAGAGTTCTAACTTTCATAATGAAAAAGTAAAGCAGTTCCTCTAATTGTTATTTAAATCATGGAACGTGAGCCTTCTCATTAGCTTTCATTTATTTTGCATTACAAAACACGCTGTTATTTATGCATGGACATAGGAATCTGTTAATGCCATACTGGAGTCCTTTCCAACAGGTTTTTCTCTGAGTGGGATCTCTGACCTTTCTCAGTGTCTCATGCTTCTAGGATGCCTTACATAATGTTTAAGTAATTTTCAGATAAAATCTATGGTTTCATGTTAAAAAGGTTTTTTCCTGTCAGCTCTGCAAATAAAAGTGGCTGGACTATACTGCAGCTTTTTAGCATGTTGGTGCTATGTTTTATGTTCAGTGAGGTTTCACAGCAGTAATTGAGAGCAGAATTTGTTCTTGCAGGAATTGTTTTGCTTTGGAAGCAGATGTGTGACCTCACTGTTTTCTTTGGTGCTGTGTTGACTCTGGGGAGTTAAAAAGAATAAATAGTAGTGCGGGTCTTTTTTGTGTTACATTAAGGTAATTAGATAAGGCATGAGCAGAACTAATTATCCTAAGAGTGCTATTTCTGGGCACTAAAACTCATCAAGTCAGGAATGCATTGCAATTTCTTGGTTCTGATTTTCCATCTAAAGCATAAGCAGATCTTGTTTGGAAATTTCTACAGCAAATTGCTTACATTTACATTACTAACCCTCAGTGAAAGTGATTGTAGGTAAAATTAAACAATACTATGAATAGGAAAGGTTTCTTTGAATGTATATGTTAAAAAAATGTATGATTGGTTAAAATGTAAGACTTTAAAAGTTTGAAGTTGTCTGTCTTCCCTAAGCCTAAAGCAGGATCTATAAAGAGTTTGGAATATTTTCTCTATTTTCTTCCATCTCTTTAGTGGAAACATACTGCTGTCCCTATCATGATATTTTCTGTACCTCTGTGTTCATTTGAAAAACTCGTATACCTGAGACAAAGGTCAGCTGATAATGTTGCTTCTTCTATCTTTTCCAAGGAAGGTGCATCTGCTCGAAAAACACAAACTCCAGCAGCACAGCCTGTGCCACGACCAGGTAAGGTGGCCCACTGTCACGTGTGCTCCTGTCCCACATGTGCGTGAGTTTCAAACAAGTTCTATTGAAAACTGTAGATAGCTCCAGAATGAAGAATGGGTCATTTATATTTGGCCTTTAACTGTGCATATACTGGAAAAAAACATAGCGTTTTGTTTAATGCTATATCATGGGACTTGGGCACATTCTCTTCAGTGTGTTGCCCAATTAGCCTATGGAAAGGATGCACTGCTGAAATCAAAGTCACAGACTTCTTGGTCATGGGCTTGGTATGTCACCAATTAAAATTTCACAAAATTCCCACTCAGATATCTAACAAGAGCTGGTTCATACTCCAAGGATAAACAACTTAAACAGAACAGCTAATCTCAAAAAGAGACATATTATTACTTCTAGGGTTAATATATCAGAAATAAGTAGTTCTCTGACTGTGATATCATTATTTCTTTACACTTCTTAGTACATAAGGTATTTGTAATGGGGCCAAAATCCTCAACTTGGGCTTTTAATTCCCGTTTAGTAGGTTTTGGCTACCAAGTACATTTGTCTGTAGTACTGCAATTTGTACTGCAGATTGAATCTTGAGTTTTGAATCAATGATGTATGATAAATATACTTTGTTTAAATAAGAAACCCTTAGGATCAATTTTTAGAAGTATGTAATTCCACTACATGAGAGGGACAGTGTTTGCAAACTGATGTGCAGATTTGTCTCTGGTTTACATCCTTTGAGAGTTTAGTGGTTTGGTGGAAGAAGGTCTCACGTGAAAGGTGCTATTTCAGGACAAAATGATGTTATGAAGGTTATGGGGACATTATGGGGGGCTTGGAAGCAAAGCTACCAGTTAAAATGAATATACTTTTTCTAGAAGTACTGCTGGAATACTGTGTATCCTTGTTGAGACTCTAAATGCTTTAAATGTGTGCCTTGCTAATTCCTTGAGATTTGTTTGCAGGATTTAATGCTAAGACTTAATATTGTAAAGCTGCTTCTTCCCCCAGAATCCATTCTAATATTGAATGTTCTCACCATGCCTAAATGCTGTTGTGCTCAGATTCTTCTGCTGGTTATTTTTGAACTGGAAAGGTCACGCTGCCTGTCATACTTATCTCACTAGCCCTGTTAAGCAACCTAATGCAAATGGAGTTGACAGACAGCAGTATGAAAAGGGTAGAAGTGGCAAGAACGGAAATGTGACTGAATTGTCACAGTCCCTGCTGTGACTTCCTGGGCATTTCCTGCCAGCAGTGTGGCATTTGTACATTATACAGATGATACTGATACTGCCCTGCTCTAAGGCCGGCCCTCCATTATCTTGCCTTTATATTGGAAATTGAAGAGAGAATAAAGAAGACAGATGTAGTCAGAAGAGATTTCTTTTTCTGTTTGTTCTAGGATATTTTTCTATTTTAATATTTGGATATTTTAAGAATTCTGATGTTCTATTCTTAGCAGTGAAAGCAACTAAACCCTGCTGTTTCCAGGAGGATGCTGCTTTGCACATAGGAATCATTAGTTAAATTAGGCTAAACTGTTGTACAGTAGTGATTTGAAGAAAATAATTGAGATGTGCCCTTAAATTTTATTTTTGGCACCATTTTGCATTGCCAACTTTTCTCCTAACCTGTGTTTGTACAGCTATTAAATTTCTTACAGATGCTTATTCTCCCTCCCCTTTTTGTTTTGTTGTTTTTTGCCTTAAGACAGCTGGCTCTGCCCATAATGTCAAGAATATTTTTACTTCAAGGAGATACCTAGATTAAAAAAAAAATAATTAAAAAACATAGGTAGGTAAAATTCATGTAGTTCAATATAGCATTGCCAATTATATCTGTGCATTTGACAGTGTCAGGAAAAGATAATTAAGGAAATGGTCTCAATATTTCAATAACGGCGAGTATGTGCTATGAATATTTATACTTTTCAAGGAAGTTTCTGAAACAGTTGGTCATAAATAAACAAGAGCAAGTTAGTGCTAAGCAATTGGTAGTCAATTAATGAAATTTGTCCTGCACAGTAGCAGTTGAGACTTGAGTTAGTCTGCATCAATCTGTCTACTGCTCACCATTTTCTGAATTAGGATAAACATGGATGATGATGATGATTATCAAATGCTACACTTCTCTCCTATAGTTAGGGCTTCTGAAAACTGAATTGTAAAATGTTGATTTGGGGATGCCAGGTAGGTCAGTAATAGCACCAAAGTGGAGAAACAAAGATGCTTTTCCACTCTTGCAATGCAGTGTCTCCCATACTGAGGTAGTCTCAACTTGGAAGACTGAAGGTGAAACATATTACTGGACAGGTGGGGGGCAGCTCTTTGGTTGCTATCAGTCCAACACTGGTTTTGCAGGTTTCTTTAGTGGTTGAGGGTAGTTTTGTTTGGGGGTGGGTTGTTTTTTTAGTTTTTTTTTTTCTCTCTCTTTTTTTTTTTTTTTTTGGGTTGCTTGGGTGGTTTTCTCCTTGAGTGTCAAGCTTGACTGTTTCTGGCTCCTGAAGGAAGACCTCATGTAACTCAAACTTCAATCCAATCCACAATTAACCTGAGTAAGCCTGAAATTCAGGTTTTGATTGTAGAAAGTTCTATATATGTTTAGGATAGCTAAGTCTCATGGATGTCATGTGCAATAATAACTACTAATGAAAAGATGAGGTGTAGAGACCAGTTTGCTGTGAAGGTTGTCCTGTTGGTTCAGCACTACTGAAGATGTACAAGCAGCTTTTTTCAAGATTGCTGGGAATTTTTTTCCATGATGTTGTGTCCTGCCCTTTTTTGGAGGATAGAGGGGAGATGAGTAGCTTCAGTAAAACTGGAAGAGATTGACTCAACTCTCCTAACATCTGCTTCAAGCTGGTCAAAAGCTTGTTTTCTGAATACTCAAACCCAAATTATAAATCCCTTCTTCATCTTTGTGTCTTGCATCTGTAAAAATAATCTAATGACTGTAGTGTAACTCTTCCCTATTCACTCCTGCAGTTAAACTGATGCCTTGCAATGACATTTGGATATATGTCCTAGTCATTCTGGTGTATTTTTTTGGTTTTTTTTTTTCTCAGTTTCTCAAGCAAGACCACCTCCAAACCAGAAAAAAGGTGAGTCAAGTTTAGTTACATGATCATTTTTGTGTGGATTGTGCCTACTTTTCCCTTTTTTATTTTTTTTTGACACTACAAGCAACAATATAAACAAGCAGTGGAGTATATAGCATGTATATAACAGCATTCTATTTGCTATGTATGAGTCCTCCACATGTTGGGAGACTCATAGAGATCTGCTTTTTTTGATAAGTGAAAATCTTGACTTTAGAAAAGCTTTACTACTATTTTCCTTGACTATTTTTTCATGATTGGGACCTTTTAAGCAAGAGTTTTGTTATGTACAGTTCCTTTAATGTAAAAAGGGGGGAAGGGAGGAAACAACAACCAGAACACAACCAAAAAACCCCTCCAGGCAAATCTAACTTTATTATCTCTACAGGATCTCGAACTCCCATAATCATTATTCCAGCAGCCACGACCTCTTTAATAACAATGCTTAATGCAAAGGACCTTTTGCAAGATCTGAAGTAAGTAGCTGATTAGAACATACTGTATAACAAATTGTTTTCAGACATAAAGTTATACTACCACCTAATTAGTAATTAAGCAAGTGGGTTCATTTACTGTCTTGTGACAAGCTAGTTTTGCAGACCAGAGTATAAAATTAATTCTTCTTGACCAGTAGGAAAAAAGCAAAAACCTAATTCACAGTTTTGGCTCAATTGTGACCTGTGGACAGATTTAGGAAACTCTTGCAGTAGCAGCTGGAATGTGTGCAGTGCTTTTCTTTGATGTATCATCTGTGCAGTCATGTGCAAATGAACCCTTCCCATGGAAGAAGGCTGATATAAGCTGACCAAGGGAGCTCATGGAGCTCAGAAAAGATTTTGGGAAAGGACCACAACTATTATAAAGGAAAAGGTGACCAGATGGGTTGTATTGCACTCTATCAGCCAAGCATCTCAGCTGGTTGTGCAAATAAAGAATTTTTTCTTAAGTTCACATATTGTCATTAAGTATTGATGCAAATGCATCCAGGGAAATTTCAGTAAGTTGCTAAAATTTGTTAATCACATCACACATCTCATTCTAAGGTTTAATTCATTATGGGTGAATGAATCTTTCTGCTTGTCCAACAGATCATGCTTATTAGACTTGCCTATCAGTAAATATCAGGTAATTTTTTGGAAACAGTCATTTTCACAGAGAAATACACTGTTGCAGGTTGTCTACAATGCTATGTCCAAAAAATGGAGGGGGTCATCTTATTATCACCTCCAGTACTCATCTTTTGTGACACTGTTAGACTGCTTTTTGTCCAAACCAGGTTGTTGTGGTGGTATAGCTTCTGCTGGAGTTGCCCTAGAACTGTTTAAAACTGTGCTCTGGGATACCAGGTGCCTTCTGATCTGCAGCTAGTTCCAGTTCCTATCTTACTGCCACAGGCCATCAAAGATGCAGTGAGTGTACTGGACTCTTGGTGTCTCTCCTGAAATACTTTGAGAAGGCAGGTTTTTAATATTACTTAATATGCAAGCCATTAGAGCACTGATCTAATCGGGTTGACAGAGGATGTTTGTTTATGTGGGGTTTTATATTTAGGAAAAAACCTCAGAACAAGCCCTGGCTTTTACAGCTGTGTAATTTGTGACTTCCTGGCACAGGTGTACCCAGAAAGGAATGAAGCATCTGTGCAGTGGGTTTCTGGCCAAATGCCAGTGCGCTCACAAAAAATCATCTACTCATCTTCCTCTGCTATAATTGGAACAGAGGTGAAAATAACCAGGTAAACTAAAGCTCCTGGGGTTGAGAAAAGGATTAAGTTAAACTTCTTTAGGGGAAAAACAGGCTCAAAACTCTAAAGGGTATAAAGATAACTTTACTAACAGAATTAAAAGGGAAATTATAAGAGCTAAAATAAACCTTCAGAACACCTTTCATCCCCCCTTCTTTTTAGAAGGTTCTTTCTATTTCTCACCAACAATGTAAAGAGACAAAACCTGGGATTCTGAGTCAGTTTAGCACTTCTAAAAATAAATGTTTCTTCAGTTTGCTTAGGGAGAGGAGTCTCTCCTGCCATGCCACAGGAAACAATTTCTCGTGGTTTTAATTTTCAGGAACAGCAGCCTGCCCAGAAATTTGAAACCGTGAAGTCCCTCCCACGTTTTGGCAGTCTTCTCACAACTGCCTCCATGGGTCATTGGCTTATGGAGTGCAATTTTTTAAGGATGAGCTGTTCTAGTATAGAAGCAAAGGTTCTGTCTCTGGAAGCAAAGGCTCTCTCTGTTCAAGTCAGATCAAAGCTTTGTTCAACATCTATATTCCCCAGTTCTCGTCTGAGCTGTGGATGAACGCTGCATCCTCCCACGCACTTTATGAATTGCAGGGAAACAGTTTGGTGTATTATATTCTCACCTTGGCTTGCAAAAGGTTTTCAGCTCTGAAACCTGAGCATCTCCTCTCCTTCTTTCCTCTGGGCTTCGGCCCCTCCTTCTTCAATGACGTTGGTGTCACGCTGTTTCCTTCACCTGCCTTCACCTTTCCTTTTCTCTGACTTGGGAGAAGACTGATGTCCACAGATTTATTTGTTCTCAAATGGAATTTTTCAGCGCTGGAAAGGTTAATCTCGCCCGGGCCCTGCATCAGGGAATTTCCTCTCGCTGTTGGTTACGGGGAGCTACTCTTAGTGTTGATCTTGGTCGCATTATTACTCATGGCAGCGCTGAAAGGGTTATTCTCGTGCGGGCCCTGCATCGGCGAAATAGCTCACTGTGCTTCTGGCTGCTAATCGTGCGGCGGAATAGCTCACTGTGCTTCTGGCTGCTAATCATGCGGTCTCCATCGGCACCCTGCCGGCTCTGCTCTGGGGCAGCTCCCGCTGCTAGCTGCACGGTGTCCTGCGGCGCCAGGATGATTTTCCGGGAGCAGGAATCTCGGCGGCCGCGCTGGGCACAGTGGCTCCCCCAGCCCGGCAGCCACTGCAGCCCCATGCCGGGGGTGGGCCTTCTCTTCTGTAGAAAGCAGAAAGCAAGAGAGAGCTTTCCGCGGTTTTTTCGTTCTTAAATATGATTTATGGAGGGTTGTCCAGCTTCTCTAACTGGCTTAGCAGTGTATCAGTTTTCAGAGCCAGATAGCTATTGGTTCTGTCAGCTAAAGGAAGCTGTAAGTTTGTCACAGGGGAAAGTTACTTGTGTGGCTGACCCTTTTTCCTCCTCACCAAAAAATTCCATTAAGGCAAATCCGGGACAATCGGTCTGTCATGTCTAAGTGCATCTGTGTCAGGAGTCAGAGTTTTCAGCTGTTCTCAGCTTCACTGAGGCAGAGTCGCGGTCAACTTGACAAGGCCTGTCCCAAGAGGATGCTCATATTTAGACTGCAATGAACATGATCCAGAACAAACTGAAAGGAAGCTTAAGGGTTCAAAGGATGACGCTTTATGGTTAGCCTACTTGGAAAAGAAAGGGGAGAAGCAAGGTATGTTAATGAATCAGAAGTGCAAAAGCAGAATTCAGAAGAGTGAAATACTAATTTAACAATGACAGGTTCTAGCACTCTTCTGGAAAATATGCCACCTGGCTTGTATTTGCATTCAGATTTATGGAAGTACTTTGTTTAGGAATGGCTTCAGGGTTTGTTTTTGCTATTAAGGTATGCAGAGTGTAGGAATAGCCTTGATGTAAAGTGTGATTGATAGATATGTGATGATTTTCCAAGGAAAGAAGAATTAGCTAATTTCTGCCTCTAAGTCAGCGCCTTCTTTAACTCACTCCCCACTTGCAGTTAAATTTGACAGAAGGACAGAGATTTCAGAGACTCCTTTCATTGCCACAAGTTTTGGGATATTTTGTCTAGGTAGAAAAGACACACCTAAATTAATCTTCCTTCCCTTAACCTTGCAAGATGGAGGTAGATTTGCATTTCTTGTATTTCTAGAAATAGCCTGCTTGTATTAGCCATCAAGGGGATTGGTGATACAGCAGGAGACATTTTTTGATCTGTAAGGGTTAAGAGCCATTGTAGGAGAGACTGTGAAGAAATGTAGGAAAAGCCTCAGAGGATGATGCCCCTGTGGTGGTTAGGATATGGATATCCCTGAATCTGTGAAGTGTGTGATCATAAAGAATGAGAATTTGGGTTTCATAAATCAACTTTTGTGATTCTGTTCATTTAAATGTTTCTTAAAACTAAATAAAAATTTCAGCTGAAATTAAAGATCAAAAATAGAGATCAAAACCAGAGATGAAAACTTACAATCGTAGCTGGGAATCTGGCTTTTAGGATAGTTTTTGTCTACAATCCTGGATTTTTTTTATTTTTTTTTTTTAGGAACTGGACTGCAATGCATTGTCACTTTGGATATGAGAAAAATTATTTGTGGTATCCTTGCCAGATATTTTAGGTTGGTGGTTGTAAAATAGACAGGAGATTCTTCATTCAGTTCTGTGGTAGAACTTAAATTGAATTCCCAAGAACTGAGAGAAACCTATTAATTATACCAATATTTTTATTGAACCTTTTCATAGCTCTGTAGTATATTAGTTTTCATACCAAGCTTAGCTGACATTTGTAAGATGCTTAGCATCTTACTTTATCACTTATGTAAGGCTCTCTTTTAAGGTAGAGAATATGGAAAGCAGGAAAACTATCATTTGTAGAAGGAAATATATATGACAAACCCAAAGCATGGCACTGGTTTCAGATTTTATTTTTAAGATATCTAATTTTTCTATTCTATGTATTTGTTGCAACTTAGATTTTGAAGGAAGCCATTTCTGTATGTAATTGTAATATATACAATTCACCTGCTAAATAATATGCAAATATTCTTGCTACGTTTTTTTGAAAGGTTACTTTTCTAAGGAGCCAAGTACAACATAAAGTGAAGAGTTTCTAAAACAGTAAAAACATAAAATGTAATTTATAATCAGAACTGCAGTACGTTCTGGTATGTTGTGATACTTCTTTAAAGTATTTTATATAATACATTTTATTCTTACTACCTGAATGTAACATTGGATATCACAATTACTATATGAATTGTGAGTCAGTATTTGAGAATACCTGAAGTCAGGCTTTTCAGAGGCAAGGCTTCTGCTTTACATGGAGCTATAGCAAAGGAGGAATTCTGTCAGGCAGAATGAGAATGATTAAATGGTGATTTTTTATTTTTTTTTTTTGATGATGCTCTTCTTTGTGTTACATTTAACTAAATGTGGCCAGGCAACTCACTGGAGATATATCCAGCTCTGATACTGACTAAAGTATCTGGGAAAGATTTAGGCATGATGTAGTCCTAAAACGCTTTCTTCTCTTGCAAAAATGTGTCTAAAGCTTTTGGGACTATAATTTAACAGAAATACTGAGAGGGTGGTAAAAATAAGTCTCCAGTTCTGAACACAATCAAATGTGTATTGTGACGGTCTCAGTTGATCGTAAGTTGCCTTATTCTCCTTTCATGCCTTTTTCAGTGTGCCTGAGCTGGGGGCCAGAAAGTGCTGATCTGACCTCAGTGAAAGGGTTCTAAAGG